TCCCCTATTTCTAATACACATGCTGGCAGAAGCCAGCACAAGTGCATGCATGCGTGTATGACTTAGAATGCTATGAGATTCAAATAAAAGAAAAGTCTGACTCAAAATGCCTTACACAATGAGATTTATTATCTTACACAATTGAAAAGCAGAGAGTGCCAAAAACAGGCTCTAGGCGCAGAAGTGCACATGACTTCATAGTTTCATCAAAGATCCAGGCTTTCTTCTCTCTGTTCTGAAATCCTCAGCATTGCAAAGTGGCTATGACCGTTATAGGCATTGCCTTCACATAAAACAGTGTCCAGATGCAGAAAGGAGCTATCTCTGGATGTCTCTGTTTAGAACCCAGACATGTTTTCCAGGAGCCCCAATCAAACGTCTCACATGTCAGTTCAGGAGTCTGTTTCTAACTCATAAATTTAGCCAGGGGAACACGATGACTGTGATGTCTTAGGCAGGATAATCAGGATCCACTTGCTGGAGGCACGGAGGAGAGGCTCAGCGTTCCTTGAAACACGTGGATGTGAGGAGGAGCAGATATCTGAAAAAAGTCCAGGTTGGAAAGAGGAAATATGTTATGATTGGGGAGAGAAGGAGTGGGTACTGGCTTGGCAACCGGCCCAGTGTCTACTCATACGCACTCCCCAACAAAAGGCCTTCATTTCAAGAAGGGCAATAGAACATTTCATCCAGATCTGCAGCAGGGAGCCTGGAGGCCCAACTCTTTTTTTCCTTCACTGGACTAATTATCCCTGAAACTGACCTCTAAAATGTTTGGTTTTATTTCAGAAAAATAAAGTTAATTGCAACTTTTTCCTGGGCAGCTGATCATGGATGCTTAATTACACTGCAGGACAGAAACAGTTGTGTGACTACAAAATAAATACCAGATTGGTTTTGCTGTTGGCTTTACTTTATTATGTAAGTTCCATTAGTAATGTCATCTTCATAGCAAATATATCTAGACAAATAGAGGGAACTCTGAAATCCAATACTTTCCTGATATTTGTTGAAATCTCATGATTTAGCATTGTGCAGCCTGGTTCTGTTTAGACAGTAGATGAATTTTATAGTAAATAACTTTTTAAAAACAAGACTTCTTGATAACAATCCTGGAAGACCTAGTGAACTTCCAAAAACTACTTTTTAAAGTATGTTAAGAGAATTTGTCCTTGGTAAAATTCGTACAGCTAGAATATGCACTGAATGAAACTTCCGTCTTCATTTCTTTATGAACTAGAGGCCCATTGCACAGATTCGTGCATCAGTGGGGTCCCTTGGCCTGGCCTGCGGGGATCAGTGGACCTCCGCACCTCCGCAGCCCGGCCTTACCCGCCAGCTCATCAGGCTCCAGCCCACTGAGCGAATTGATCCCATACAGCACGAAGCAGTAGGTGGCTGGGGAGGATCCCAAGCCCAGGCTGGGTGCCATGGCCCCACTGTGCCTGCTGCTGCCGCCACTCGGGCACGCAGGGGGAGTGTCTGCAGGAGAGGCTCACACTGCCACAGCTACTCTGGCCAGCAGTGAGCCCGGTGTCAGGTGCCCATCTGTCAGCTGAGCGGCGCTCGGCACTCCCGCTGTGGGAGCACACTGACCACCAGGAGGCAGCTCCTGCATTGAGTGTCTGCCCCCTGGTGGTCAGTGTGCATCATAGCTACCAGATGGTTGCCCGGTAACTTAGGCTTTATATATAGATGCTACTAAAAAAATATAAAAAGGCAGAACAACCTGGTTGGTACATTCACAGACTATGAAGTCTAGTACCTGAGTTAAAATCTGAGTTATGTCACTGACTGTGTGACCTTAGGCAAGTTACTTAAACTGGTTTTGTTTCGGTTTCCTCATCTGTCAAATGAGGATAAGAATAGCACCTATTTTTCTCAGCTGTTGTGAATATTATGTGTGCATAAAGAGAAGAGTACTTGGTATTGAGTAAAACCCCTGTAAATATTAACACATTTACATGTTGTTATTTGCCTTCCACATGGCAGGCCCTGTATTACACACTTTGTCTGTAATCCTCAAAACACTCCTAAAAGATTATCTGGTATTAGAAATACCAATGGAAAATAATAGCTAACATTAAACTGAGCACCTACTATGACTATGTATCAAGCACTGTTTGGGTACAAAGCAGGCATCATTTCATTGAAGCCTCATAATAACCCACAGAAATACGGTTTTCCCATTTTACAGATAAAGAAACTAATGAACAGAGAGATCAATTAGGAAAAATACTTTGGCCTTTTTAGCTGTCAAAAGCTAGCCTAAGGGCATGGTGAAGGAAAATCATTATGAAAAGGAAAAGAGAACTGAATTACTCTATAAAGTGAAGCTGGAATCATTTTAAGTATCCAGGAATTGCCCAGGAGTAGGCTTAGAAAGGATGGAAGTGAGCAAGGATCTGTAGCAGAGTTGAGGGCTGAGAGGCAGTAAAAAAAAAAAATAAAAAAAAAATTGACAGATCTCTGTGATAATAATGACCTGCAATTTTTAAGAAGAGAAATATTTATAATTTGATCTTAAGTAACTTGCTTTGCTATAATGTAATGCTTTTGTTGTTATTCCCTATTTGTTGTTATTGTTAACATTTATTATCCACTACTCTTTAATGTGTGATATTTAGGGGAAATTGGGGGAAAAAAGAAAGCATGACCTGAAATATTAGCATAAAGTGCAGAGAAAAATAAAAATAAGCTATGAAAGAAAAAACACAATCTCAAGAATTTAGTGTAAATAGATCATCTGAATAAGGTATGCCTAAGAGGAATATAACCCACCCAGTAAAGCTTAGAGTCACTGAGTGGAGAGTGTGTGAGTGTATCATAGTCTATAGCAGTAATTTTCAATCTTTTTCATGTCATGGCACACATAAACTAATTACTAAAATTCTGTGGCACACCAAAAAATAGGTATAATTTTGATTGATTTATAAAAATAATAATAATAGTAATTACCTACCCTTTTTGTTCAAAAGTGACTTTTTAAAAAACCGGGTGCTTATACTTATATATAGGATTGCTGGTACGAAGAATTAACCAATCAGATCCAACCTTTTTATGCAATGTGAGCAATAAGATGTGACTCA